CCCCCTTTTTCCTCCGTTTACTTCCTTTCCCCAAACTACTGGAAATTAACGTTTGCACTGGGTTTATGGCCTGGTTCTTTTCGGGGCTATAAAACTTGTTCATTCATAAATCATGCACAAAATTATTATCATTATGAAACTCGCCTTTCAGTATCATCAGAAAGAATGGGGCAGAAAAAGTAACTTTTGAGGGCAAAGGGTTAAGCGCGTCAGGCAAAGATTTTCCTTCTTCGCCACCCACTTTTTCCTCCCCTACTTTCCATTTTTTTTTGGTTCTGCTCCAACGTTGACTTTCGTTTTTTTCAATTTTTCAACATCAAGCTGGGTTGGGTTCTATGTATGACAGAAGAAAAATGAATGTTGCATAGATTGAAGGCGTGCAGATTTTCTTTATTCTATATACTCCCTTAATATCTCTTTTTTTTTCATGTTTTATCATGACATTTAAAAGCTGGCGGGTTAGTTCCTCTGATAATTTTACACTTAATTTAATTTATGTTTTCTGCCTGCTCTAAAATATCTTATCCTTTATCATCCAGATAAGCGACTCTGCAAATATTGGCATTTCGAGAGTTAAAGTTCGACTAAGCGATGCAACTCAATCTTTGTGGAGTTTTCCGCACACTTTCCTTTTTTGCAGCTTTGGCATGTAACAAGTTTATTTCATTATTGATATGCAGGCGGAAGTTTTTGTTTTTCGTAAACCAAAAGCTGATCTAAGGATATTGGCCAAAGGAGTACTCTTTGTTCAGGATTTGAGGATGCTGTTTACAAAATAAATCGGATTACCAAAATACCTTTCGTTTATTTATAGGAAAAGCTATAAAAGAGGATTTTAATTTACTGGAACTTCAATTTGAATGGTATTAAAACAATTTCATTTAACTGTGGCCATCAAGAGGAGTTTAAGCACTCATGTATCGACCGAATCTCTATCGAATTCGATGCCCTGTAAAGCCAATTCAGAATGTTTGATACGCGGATATTACCCATCGAGCAGAAGGGCGAACTCCACAAAATCCCCACTCGCATTTCAACGGCAATGCAAATCGCAATTCGCAAATGTAGCTGAAGTTTTTGCCTGCGTAGAGTGCATAAATCTTGCACTCTGCGCGAATTACTTAGGGCAAAAACAGGCGAAGAAAACTTTCAGCGGAGAACAAGGAACTGAGTAACGCCTACCCGAGAAGCTGCCAATGTTTTCGATATATGTACAGTGTGTATACAGTAACACAACCACCCGATCCCTATCCCAATACCAATCCCAATCCCCTTACTTCCTGAGTATGCAAAATAGCAACAAGCGCATTGTGAACACGGAAATTGAATCGAAAAGCTGCTCCTGCTGCCTTAGCCGGCTTCTTGTGGCAGTTGCCCTTGCCGTTCCCGTTGCCGATGCAAGCCAACAAAAATACTGATGCCATAAAGTTAAGAAAAACATCAGCCAGGCAAATGTAAAGAGCGGCTGGGGGAAAACTTTGCTGGGGAGTCACGCTGCTGGGGAATTCCAGGCGATTGTTTTTTACTGCCCAGCAAATTCAAATCACCCTCTTGTTTTATATTTTTCTCACTTTTACAACTCTGGCTGCACTCTATTGCTTTTAGTTTTTACACTAATAAACAAATTGCAATAAAAGTAAACCAAACAAATAAACATATTATTTAATGTAATAGAAGTTATATACAAATAAATTAAAATTTTTGAGGCATTTTATTAAGTTTATAAGACTACATTGTTGCTAACGTAAGCCATGCTATGTAATTAATAATTATTATTTGTTTCAGTGTTTTACATTCCAGTTGAAACAGTTTTCTTTTAAGGTGCAAAATCCAATAGAAAATTAAATTCACGCTAAGTTCATCGCATTGCAAGTTTATTAGAATGAACCTCCCATTTTTCGACTTTAACCGAGGGAAAAGCAATTTTTGGAATATTTGGCCTTAACTATTTTAGCTCCAATTTTATGTTTTGCTGGAGTTGTTATTTTCCACCTAACAGTTTCCATTTTGAACTCAAAAGCATAGTTTCAGCATTAGAACTCCAACCCCTCAATATCGATCTAAATTTGTATTCAACATTCCTCTTGCGAAAATTTTGCTGCAGGTCAATCTTTTGCCATACCCACAATAAAATCAATTTGTTTATTTTCAATTGTTTTATTTTTATCTTGTAAGTTTTCTATTTCTGTCTGATTGGTTTACAGGGGAATTTGTTTAAACTTTAGTTAGATGTGTCTAAAATAAAATCACTTAATGGAGTAAAAACCTACTTATTATGTTAGTCAATATTTGTGGGAATATTTTAATTGGTAACAATCGGTATGTTTCCTGCAATAATAATGTATAAGTTTCTAATTATTCGACCACGTGCCTGAAAGTGGACTCCAAGCTATTCTTTCCCTTTGGGTCTGACCTCTGCGTTGACCTGAATTTAAACTTCTTAATACAAAAGCAGGTTTCTGCCTTTAAAGTCCACGCACATGGGGAATATGATATGAAAATGTTTTTTGTGAAGGGTTCTCTGGTTTTTTCCTCAATAGTGAAAAGGGTTGAAAGTGGGGCGTGAGTTAAATATTTCATTTTGGGTTGTTGAAAGTGTCAAAGTGACAATGTGTTGCACAGAAAAAAAAAACAGCATTAAAAATTATATATAATATTTAAAGTATTATTTTTATCTGCACTACTTTTTTTAAAAATTCTGTATTTAGAATTCATAACAGTATTCAAAGATGAATTTTTGATGGGCAATTGTTCACCTGATCACGTACGACAATCATTATTCCTTGTGTATGCAAAGCACAATGGAGTCGAAATACCGGACACACAGGATATGACTTCGTGCCCCGGGTGACATTGAATTTAAGACATGTCGACAGGTCTGACATGTGCCCCTATATATCCTCCTCCTTTTGTCCCCCGGCTGAGTGTATCCCCCGGAGAACTAGACTCTGTATCTCGGCTCCTGTCAATTATGAACGGAGGACGAAGATCCTACGCAGCTGCCAGAAATTATTACATCAACTAATTGCAATTGGCAGTGAGTGAGCTGGGATGAGGTCCAAAGCGTGGGTGGTAAGTTCTGTACGTACTGGCGGGTTTTTTCCATGGGCCAGAAAAAGTTGAGTTGAGCGCAAATGAGGCAAAAACCGTGGCATACTTTTCGGCGCCCAGCCTCTCATCCGCGCGCGTGTTTGTGTTGGTTTGTTTGCAAACGCTTAAAGGCAAGGCAAACCATGTCAATGACATCTGACACGTGACCCTTTTCCCTCTTCACATCCTCCGCACACACGCACGCACTTACACGCACACATATGAAGAGCCTCACGCACACACACTTGCGCAGGCGGCCATAAAGCAATAACCGTAAACATTTTGTCAGGGCATCCAGAAGTTGTAGTGGATCCCTGGCCCGGAAAGGCATTCCTGACTAAGATTTTGGGCTAAAATTAAAAGGGAAGTACGAAAACAACATCTTCATTCTGACTTATATAAACACACTGATATAATAGTTAAGTAGCCTAACTTATGTTAAAAGTAGAATGTAGAAAATGGTAGAAATGTCCTGTGCATTGAAGGAATTCTAGTTTTTATCAAAATAACTAATAAAAAAATCTTATAAATAAGAGGTATAATTTCGTTCAGGAATCACAATTTCTTCTTTTGCCCTATTATTATTTTTTCGGTGTGGTTGTTCCAACGTGATTAGATGCGATTGTGCGAGCAATTGAGCGAAATTGATGGCAATGCCATTAGAAGGTATGGCTGGTCATGCCCTTTCTCCACGACCACGCCCTTCGCCCCCCTTTGCCCGTCCCTTAACCCTGCGGCGACCCCTGCTTTTCCGCTAAACGCTGCATTGGTTTCACTTACGACGTCACCATCAGCGCTGCCATCGCCATCGTCGTTCATAATTAATTTTCTAGTGAATTTACTTTCATGGCATTTTGCCGGGCTGAGAGTGGAGCAGCAGCAGCGGCAGCAGCAGCGAAGGAGGAAAAGTCCTGCCGCTTTTCCGACCGCTTTCCCCAATTTTCCCCACCCCCTTTGCTGGTGGGCACATAAAAGTTGTTTCAGCTGCGGCATTTATTTTAATTTGAAAACTATTTCCCCATGCCCGCCAACGCCTTTCCTGCTTATGCTCATTATTTTCGCATGACTTTAGCTAGATTTTTATTACACCATTTTCCGCGATATTGCGTATACGCAGCGTCCGCCGCTTTTGTTTTAATTTGTATATGGCGTGCGGCCAGTAAACTCAATAGAGGGAAGGCCTTCGACCAAATCAGTTGTAAATATTAGCACACAGCCCCTAATGGCAGCATAATTGTGTGGCGTGCCGCGATTTTGGCGAGGCCAACTTTTTGATATCCTGTGCAAATGATCGCTCACCTTTTTCGGTTCGGTTCAGTTTGGTTCGGTTTGGTTTGGCTTGGCGGTGATGGTGGGCCACGGAGTATGCAAATGCATATCGAAATACCCCGCGTAGTTAAGAGCGCAAATTATTTGCACGAAAATATTTTTATGGCCCGAAGACTGGAGGCCGCCGGGCAACTTCCGGAAAAGTCGCACAACTTGCCACTTGGCGTGTGTGGCGCACATTTCGCTCCTCGGGGAGTCGTTGCCCCAGCCAATTTCCAACTAGCAACTGCCAGTGGTGCTGATTTTTCGATTCGGAAGCAGAGAAAATACAGAATTGCCTGGCGACAAGGAAAGGCCGGAAACCAAACAGACTTTATTCACTTGGAAATAAAATTAAACAAAGCTAAAAGCGAATGAGCATTGTGATTTTCTAATTTTGCTCTCTCTTTTTGGCCTTCATCCCTTCCCAATAATTTTTTTAAAATATATTTCTTGGCTAGAAAAAAGCCAAATCACCATCCATATTGCTAAGGACTCGAATAAGGAAAATAAAATTGAAAAGTGGCCTGCCCTCGAAAAGCAGGAGTATCAGAAGTGGAGGTATTGTTTTTGTAACCTGGCAATTACATTTGATTGGTCACTTAAGCAGCTTTTGCGTTCCTGGATCGCTTTTTATTGGCAAATAAATTATGGAAGTTATAGAGTAGACACAAGGTCAACCTGTTTCAAAACGAAGAATTTTCCATTATAGTTTAACTTAAAATTTGGACACAAAAATCATTCAGCTGGTTAATTATTGCTCGCTTTCGAGCTTTTTAAAAATGGCGGCGGCGGACTTGAATTGCCCGCTTTTGGATCTGGTATTCTGCGAGTCCGGGGAGTTGGCAACTGGAATCCTGGCCATCGGTTGAGCTGAATTTGAAGCAATAGGCTCCGTTTGCATGGCTATCTTGGCCTCGAAGAACTGCTTTGCTCCACTTACACCAACTTGGGAAACATCGACCGCTTTTGCCATGGCCAAACGCCGGTACTCGCGATCCTGCAGACTCCACTTCCTTAATTCCAGACGGTTTATCAAAGTTCCGTGGATGATTAGCGCCTGGCAGAAGTTGAGCCGCTCCTCGTGCTTGCCAACCACATGGGTCATCACCCTTTTGACCGCCAAGTGGGTTTGTGGCATCTCCAGCTTCTCCAGGAATCTCTTCAGTTCTCCCAGGCCAATGAACCCATCCAGATTCTCGTCCACCTGCTGAAAGCTGGAGTAGGCAGCATCGATTTCACTGCGCTTGAACCAGGATGAGAATTGTTGGTGGACCTCTTCTAAAGTGATATCGTAGTCACCATCGCTGCTTTCCGGTGTGAATCTAATCGATTTCTTTTCCATTACGATCTTAACGGAGGAGGAATTATGGGTTAAATCTGCTTCAGAAGGGGGGATTTCTTCTAATTGATTCTGCTCTGGGTCGAAATCCCGACTCTTTAAACAAACGGTGGAGGCGTCCCGTTGTTCTCTCCCAAGAATTGATTGTCGAATAGCCTTGTAGGAGCAACAGGATGTAAACGATGAGCAGGAAAACAGATCCTCCTCCTCTTCAAAGCTGTTGTCTTCCGAGAATTCTACGTCATTGGTAATTTCAGTTTCTTCGCGCAGTTCAGGAAGTTCAATTCCCTCTGAATACTCCTCCTGATACTCTGGAACTTCTTCAGATTTGATTATTACCTCTGCGACCTCCAAGTTTTGGTCGGGAACCGTTTGAACTTTGAAATTTTGGTGCGTTTTGTAAACCTTTTCCCAATCCCCAACCTCCTTCCGCTTTTCTGTCTCGATTTTCCGATCAATTCGGACCGAATTTTGACTTTCGTTTGGGATTTCGAAATCGTCCCTGACGCTGATTGCCACAGACATAATCAAAAGTTGCGATAGCGAAAAAGCAGATCTATTACCAAAAGATCTAAAAAATTACAAAAGTATAAAACTTGGATTTAAAATTTGTTGCTTCCTGTATGTGTTGCCTAAAGTATTTGATGTACTTTTTATTTAGCCCCGTGACAGTAAGGTCAACGAAGTTTTTGTTAAAAAGAGAAAAAAGTTGGGAAGTTTAAAACCTCCAGATGAATAATTTTGATTTATTTGATTAATTATTTTTAGTTTTCTGAAATGAAAAAGGGAATTGTGTAGTCATTTAAAAAACGCATAGGAACTTTACGTATGTTAATCCCCTATAACTTTTTTACCCGCAAAGCATGTTTACTAGTTGCCGAGGTTGTTTGTTCATTAAACTGATTGAATGGCTTTAGTCCAGCTTTTTTTACGGTCGGGGTCCTGAGTGCCCGGTCCACTTGAGATTAATGACTAAGGACGAATTTGTGCACGTCTGTTTCGTTGCGGGCCCTGTTAACATGCCATGGCCATAAACAGTTAATTAAGCTTTTATTGGTTACTCTTTTTGTTTGGCTTTCGGACCGGCCAACTGACTAACTGGCCGACTGACTGACTGGCTGGCTGACATTTCACGTTTTATTTGCCAAACAAGCGGCCAAAAAAGTGACGACCATAAACGGCGACCCAAGCCGACTTGGTTGCGGCTATATAATATACCCTCTGATCCCCAGCGACTTTCACAGAAGCTATTTGCCGTGTTCTCCTCTCCGCTTTTCTTTTTTTTTCACCCGGCTTATTTATTCACTCATTTCGTGTGCAAAAATATTTGGTGATAACGAGCTGGCAGCCCACGGCGACTTGTCATGTTTAAACCACATTTATTTGCCGGTGCCTTTGGCCCGGCGACAATAAAAAAGTGTACGTATCACGTATATATGCGAGCATTTTTTGTTTCTCCGCACTCGTATTTGTTTTGGGTTTTTTTTTTGTTTCCTGGTTTAGCCATACAAGAAGAACGACCGGCGAGAAATGTCAGCAAAAAGTTTCGGGCTTCGGCATTTAATTTACATAGCAAAGTTTTCCCCACTTCGAGAATGCTGATTATAAAATTTCCGGCGCAACCGAGACTGGCGCAACTGCCTGAAAACTGGGTTAAGCCAAGGAATCGACGGCCAGATAAAACGCCAAAAAACCGTTCCTCGAAAAAAGGTCCCCAAACAGTAAGGGAATGGGTTCTTAAACATAAATACAAAACACATCCCTTAAATTTGACAACAAACGTTTGCATGTGCAAAAATGCGAGTGAATTTATTGAAAAACAGTTGAATGTTTATATATTTTTCCCAAGATCTATTAAGGTTTCCACAACCGTATGAGAGATTTTCGATTCTGGAACACTTCCACGGGAAAATGCCTCCAATCTGGCAACGGAAACTTTTGGCCTGCCCCAAAAGTGTCAAAACAACTGGCTCGGAGGCTGCTCCGCCCAGAGAAAGTGTAAGTTGTTGATTTCTTAAGCCAGTGAAAATAAAGCAGGGAAACAAAGTCCCCTTGCAAGTGGAAACACCCACAAAAGCAGAGTTGGCCAAAGGCCAAGAATCGTTTTTTTGCCAGTGTTCGAGTTTTGGGCAGTTCATAAAAAACTGCAAGTGAAATTGAAATGCAGGCTGACGCATACTTTGCAGCCAAAAAGCCTTGCAACATTTGATCAAAACAAATAAAACCAGTGACTGCCGGTCGATCATAATTAATGATTGGAACAGGAGAGAAACTTCGGTCCGAGGAATAATAAATCTCAATATAACTCAAGTGACTGTTACAGTCTAAACTTTGACATGTGATGGAAAGGATGATGGTCCTTCACTTTTTTTTTGCCATCTGCAGCAACCGTTTGTCAAAAAGAACCAGTTTAAAGCCCAAAACACTTCTTCCAGTTTTTAGCTCTTACTAAAAAAAAATACATAAGCTTAACCCGACATACATATACATTTGCTTTTTCCCTTTTCTTTGGCCTGAAAAGCCAAATTGATTGCTCGAAAAATTTCTGCCTCATTCCCGGACATCTTTAGTCATTCGGAGCCCTTGCCTTTTTTCGCCCATTTATTTTTTTGGCCGTTTGGGATTTCACTTAATTGAAACCTTAAATGTTTTTACATTGCGTTTGCCTACAGCGCAAAAGGCAACCGCTGCCCAAAAACCCCAGCGCAAATACACAGATAGAGGATGTGAAAGGCGGGATCCGTGGAGCAAAAAAGTAGCATGCTTCTTTGCGGCGCCACATAAGCACACTTGAAACACACATGAAGCACACATACGAAAGGCCAAAGTCAATCAATCAAATGGCCATTCACCATTTGCCGGACTTTGGTTATTTTATCAATACTTTTAAGACATTTCAAGAGCTGCAAGTGTCATTTTCTTATTCAACTTTTTCTCGCACACAAATATAAAATAAAGTTTTTTTAATTTAAAATTGTTGTTAAAGTTATGTATTTTTCTATGTTGGGGTTGGTCGCCAGTGTTTTTAATTATAAGAGACAACATTTTTTCAAACTTAATATTCCCCCAAATGCGTTGACCTTTGCCCGTTAATTAAGTCACCCCCTAAAATGAATAAAAAATTAAGGTTATGCGTCCAGTTCCTTCTCTAGAATACATTTGTAGGGCCATTAAAGTCATAATTTCACATTAAATGCAGACGTGACTGCGGCGAAGAGCGGACCATCGAAATATCCCAACGGGCACCACATGAACCCAATTGGGGCGACTCTGTCTTGGCTTCAGATTTTTTTTTTTTTCCTTTTGCCCGGGTTTTCCCGACAGGCAGAACAAACATTAATAAGTCAATTGATGTTTGGTTTGGTTAACCCACCGAGGTGCCGAGGGGTCGATGTTAGCCGGTCGGCCAGTTCGTCATTCGAGTGGCAGTTTCTCCCTGGCGACGACATGCGTGTGCTCACATTTATCCCGACGGGGAAACTGCGACTAATTGCAATTTATGTACGCAATAAAACATTCGCCAAACGGCTGCCATTCGTTACGGCCGACGGTTATAAATTTATGAATAAAACAAATTCGACGATGGACCCGGGGCTTTATTAATCAAGCCACTGGCAGGACACCAGCCCCCCGGTGACCCGAAGTCAATTGGAGTCAATGCTCAAATAATCACCGCACCAAAGGCTCACCAAAAAAAGGAAAAAAACCAAAGGGAAACATGAACGCCTTGATTGGGTAAGCCGGAATTTGATTTAACGCGCGGAATCAGGGCATAAAGGGCATTAAAAAATTTACTACTGCATTACATCCTGTGGATCCAATGGCGAACACAAAATTTAACTGCCGCAGTCGTTACGCTTGAGGCATTAAAAGTAATCTGCTTAGCATTTTGTGGCGAATTATTCGACCAGTTGAAACAGGTGGCCAAAAGGATACTTTGTGGAAAGGATTTTAATGGTAGACTCCAGACGCTCTTTTGAAAGAGCTGAACGAGAGAGTAACTTAATGGCATTTTTATAGTGAAAACTTAAAAGAAAATTTATGTATGTATTATTTTAAATTTTAATAAACGAGTATAGTCAAAATTAAATTAATTTCTATGTGCACGCATTTTCTTAATTTTTTTTGTTTTTTCAATAAGGCTCAAAACCCTTCGTAAAAAATCGTAGCACCCATTATTAAAAACTGAAAAGGCTGAAAAAAATTCAGCATCAACCTGCGATGTAGACAAATCGATGGAAAAAGGAGGGAAGAAGATCCACGGAAGCTGCTTTCGACTTCTTCCCCATTTGAAGTGATTGCCGTGCACAATTCGCGCTAAAAGCTTTCACTTGCCAATTGCCGATGAAAACAAATGTGCCGCAGTCCGCAGTTGCCTCTTTTTCTATCTTCACCTACTGCCTACTCAACCGGTTCGAATTGGCCCCCAGCAGATGATTCTGTTTTTGCAGTTGTTTTGCCCAACTGAAATCCAACTTGGCCAGCCGCATCAAGCTGTAGAAGTGGGTAAAGTATAACAAAACGAATGGTGAATACCCTGTAATAAGTAGGATACGATGTGAAACTTAAGCAAAGGTAATCAAATATTTTGTAATATAAGAGGAGTCTGAATATTAACACACTTTAATAAAGGGATCTTTCCCTTTTTTAGTTCATCAACTATCTGAGGTAATTTTTCGTTATTGCTTTCTCCTGAAAGGAATCCGAGATACCGAACCTCCCCGAGGAAGTATTTCGCAAAACAAAGCACTCAGTGCTGCTCAATGGGTTTTGTTATCAGGACAGAGCTAATTGAAAACTACTTTCTAGTCTTCAGCTACACACTACACCCCACTCACTTGCACCCACCAGAGACAGATGGATAGAAACAGTGATGCCAGCCGCTCTACAATTCAACTAAAAAATTAAAAAAGTACCTACAGTAGTGATTTTATCGCTGAACTTAAGTTGTTTTATTGAAGGAGTTCATTTGATAAAATCCAGATCATGCTTGAATAGTTTAAAGATATAGCTTTAAAGATAACTTTAATGTTATTTTAAGCCAAAAAAAAAACAGTATAAGAAATAAGATAAAGTAGCAGCACTGGCAAAAGCAAAAACGAGAAAAGAAATGCGCACATTACTCATACGCAACGTTGGGCATGGCACGCCATTGTGCCCATTGTAGTTTCTATGGCCCAGAAGTTGTTGTGGCTGAAAAGGTCTAAGCATATTGCCTATTTAATGCCGATGCATGGTTTCTGGTGTCGCGAGTGTACTGAAAAAAAAAACAAACTAAATTTGCTGTCACTTGAAGATATGCTTCATCAAAATAGCCATCCTAATAATTAGTTTAAAAAAAACTCTCAAACTCTTTGAATAATTCTGTAAAAGCTTCTATGAACTTTTTTTAATCCTCTCCCTCTGTGGGGCTTGAATATATTTACTTTTCAACTTTTCCCGCAGTGGCTTTTGTACGTGATGCGGCATGCAAAGTGCGCGGCTTAGAAAAGGCGGAAAGTATTTGGGCCAGAATTAGGTTTGGTTGGCCAACGCTTCCGCTTGTGGCGGCTGTTTGCTGAACTCGTTGAACTCTCCGCCAGGTGCCAATCACCCGCCATTCACCCGTTAATAGCAACAAATGGCAACACCTGAAAATGCACTTCATCAGGCGCCGGCAACCTGAGAGCGCTC